TCTGATCTCACTCAGTGACTCTAGGTTACGTAGGACGGGACGAAACCATGCAGTGAATGGGGGGAGATAATTTTGCCGGAAATGCAGAAATAAGCCGTAATTTTGTTTTATTTGTAATTCTTTGGTAGATACATTCATAATTTCTATTACATTACTACTACTACTGTTACTACTAATAAAACAGATCTCTGGGGGCCCCAAAAGTGCGTGGGCCCTTAGAATCGTCCTAACTTCCCCCCCTTAGCGGCGCCCCTGGGTATAGGCTACACATTTGATTTGTTACTGAATGGAATGCATTTTGATCTCTCTCTCTATTTCAAACAAAATGTAGTTCAATTTGTACTGGTATAGTGACTACTTCAAAGCAGGAAGGGTGGATCAGTTAAAAACATGGCTACATCAGTAGATAAGTTGTCCATAGTAAAAGAAAGGTCACAAATGAACCATCATAAGTAGTCTGTATCTTAGCAAATATCATTCCATTAGTAATAGCCTACATTAACAAATACCATAAAAAATTACCAAAGGTCTGTTGCTGTGTAAATAAATACAGTATTAGAGGGTTTCACATTACAGATTCATATAGTGAGCACAGAGAAAGAGATTTTAGAACATTTGAAGAGAAAACTAGAAAATCATCAGCAAGTATGTCGGCCATGCCTGAAGTTCCCACGGAACCCTTTGTAAGCTGATTTATGTGTGAAGGTGAAACCTCCGGTGCTGAAGACCATCTTGAAGTGTGAAATATCTATGTGTGCTCACTCAGCACCTGCAAACCCACCTGACCACTCCAGTGCTGCTGCAAACCCATCCCACTGACTAATCCTGTAGAATCAGGTTCCTCTATTCAAATGGCCAGCAAATGCTCAGCTCACGGCAAGCTGATGGTGTAGACATCAGCTGCATAACATGAAGACGCTACAGACCGCCCATATAGAGCTGGTGGCAGTTGAGAGAAGAGTTAAAGGCACTGGCTCAGAGGCAGGACCAGGCTCAAGAGCTGGAAAAGTGGCAGAAAGACCAAAAGCAGACTCTGGAGAACTGTGTTAGTCAGCTGATGAAGACTGGATCAGCCCTGAAGGATCTGGTCTTCACAAGTTTTCAGATTTCAGTGTCAGCCAGACTGGGCGCCCTTCAGACTGCCCAGCAAACTATCAGTTCGGCTCTAAAGGAAGAGGATCATTTCAACTTCTTGCAGAAATTTGGCAGTGTATACAAAACTGTAATGGAGGCTCGCATAGTGTATCTGAAACAGGGCTTGGAGTCAGAACCTGATCGCACTAAACGAATTGAAGACATCAGAAAGGATGGAGAATGTATCGGAGCAGGTGCACAAACTCCAGAGAAGGTTTCTTGCTTTTGTTGATCCTGAGTTCTACTCAGTTATTCAGAATGAACAAAATCCAGTCTCAGAACTAACCTTTGACCCACAGACCCTAGGGCCTGAGATGACTGTCTAAAGACCTGAAAATGGTGTTTTACAATTTCTCTGCCAGAAACCCAACCCAAGCTTCTGCAGGGAATGCGGGAACTTTCCTTTAACTCACTGAGCAAGTGTCTTTCATGAATTAAAACAGGCCAGTTGCAAATGAACAAACTCTTTTTGACATTCTACTGTGACCTGGACAGATTTAAAAATTCACAGTTTTAATCATGGCTCATGTATAAAGTTATACAGCATTTTTACAACAGATTATACTTATAAGACTTGTCAAGGAATTAAAAAACATCACAGTGAATTCTATGCACTCTACATGCTTACAAAGAGTTGTATCATTTGAGAGGCAGTGTTGAAAACAAGCTCTCAGCAATTGCTGAAAATAAAATATAATGAAAACTGATTAAAAATTTTCCAATCTACAACACACACAACATCATACAAGACAATGGATATACTTATCTATTCTTTGCAAAGGCTATAGTAAAATCAAGGTCATGGGTTTGATTCCCAGTGAATGCAAGACCTGATAAAATGTATACCTTGAATGCAACGCTTTTGATCAATCATTTGCCAAACGTAACAAAAGTTTACTAAAAAATAAATGTTAATTAAGAAGCAAATTTACTACAATATAATAAGAAGCGAATTTACTACAATATAATACAATTATTTTTAAGAACTACTGATTTTGAACTACTGATCAGTGAAAGAGTAGATATGAGACCTGGACTCCACATCATAAAAGGAGACCAGACCCACAAACACACCCACCTTCTGAGGCTTCACTTGCAGGGAGAGAGAGACAGTGGGTCCAGCACAGGCACTATACTGGTTCCCATTTCTCAACTGCACTTTCCAGTAACCATTCTGAAGGTGTGATCTTCCCCTTTTCTGGCCACTCCTATATCCCAATCAGTTTTCCCCTTCACCTGCACCTGTCCTGTTGCAGCCGTTGAGGCTGGTACTAAACTCTCTCTGCTCTTGTTTTCACTGAGAGGGTTTTCTGTCCCACCAGTGTTGTCTGGCAGGATTCCGGCTCTGCTCTGGTTGCCCGCCTGGGTTCCTGTTTGGCAGCAGCCTCACTGGCTCACTCATCCGGCTCCGTCCTGGATATCTGCTGGGGTTCCTGTACGGTTAGGGCCTTGCTGGTTCGTCCTGCCGGCCCCGCCTTGGCCTTCCACCCTGCCGGTTCCGCTCTCATACCCTGGTCTACCTCTGTACCCTGACCCCCTTCCATTGCATGGTCCTGGCCCGCCGTCCCTCCCCCTGGTCCGCCTCAGTTCCACCTCCCTCCTGAACTTTTATGTTTTCTGGTGGAGCGTCTGGTATCAGCTCCGTAGAGGGGGGGGGTTATGTCACAGTGTCTGGTTGTGGTGCCCTGGACTGGCCACTTGAGGGCGCTCTTCCCATTTCACTGTTACATGTTTTGAACTCTGTTTCTCATAGTCCTTTGCTAGTCTTTCTGTTCTGATCATGATCACCTGTAGGTAATTTACTCATCATCCCATCACTGTTTATTCCATGCTCACTCTGTCTGTCTTTGCGGCAGTATTGTTTGAGGTTACGTTGTGTTTTGTGTTCCCCGTGTTTTGAAGTTACCTTTTGTCTAGTTTTTGTTCTGTTCTGATTATTTGTTACTTTAATAAACTACTGCACTTGGACCTACTTTGTTTTCTCCTGGCGTTCCGTGACATCCGGTAAATGGTTCTTTCAGGTGCAATATTCTTTGTAGCAATTTCCTTGCATGTGAGGCCATTTGATGCAAAGCAATGATGGCTGCACTGCACGTGTTTCTTTGGAGGTAACCATTGCTAACAAGAACACAATGATTGGAAGCACTTCTTCCCCTAATGAAAGAAAGGACAATGGAATACAAATACAACGTGCAAACTAAAGTCACTTGTTTTTGTTTTTCAGATCAAAATGTATTGCCCTTTCTGTGGCGTCCAATGGCTGACTTTGCCAAGATTTTGCAGTTCATGTGGGCGAGAAAAAAATAAAAATAAAAAAGGAATCACTAGCAGAAACTCAAAAAAAAGAAAAAAAGCCACTGCACAAAACAAATCCCAGCCGGGTCCTTCACTTTTTTGGGTCCCCTTGAAACATTTCCGTTGTGGTCCGTGCTACTTGCAGCGCGTTTCTTCATTTGCATGTGCTGTGAGGATTTGCAGCGCGTTTCTTCATTTGCATGTGTTGTGAGGATTTGCAGCGCGTGTGTTGTCAAACTGATGAAGATGTTTTCTTAATTTGCTGGTGCTTTTTCAATTTGCATGTGTTTTCTTAAGTTGCAGTGCCTTGAGCTCGCTCGGCCACCGTAGATTTTACCTGACTAGTACTCATTCACAATTTCACATGTGCTGCTGATATGATTAGTCAATTAACGTTAGTTGGTAATTTTGTGTCGGGATAAAAAAAGTCAAATTTGCTTTTTTGTGAAAAGTTAAATTTTTGGCCAATGAAGCTTTTAGCAATTATTTAAAATGCATCTGATTACTCTAAAAAAACAATATAGAAACAATGTGAATTGAAACCACAACAGCTTAATCAGCAAACTTTGCAAAACACAAAATTTATTTCACTGCCAAAACTTTTGACCATGACTGTATTTACTAGACTAATGAAGCCTAACGAATCAGTCTAGTCCAAGCGCTCTTTCCCACACTTGGTTGCACTGTGTAACCAAGACAACCACACATAACATTCACTGTAGGAGCCAGAGGGATTCTCAACATATAGGCCTAAGTATAAAAGTTTATTTTGATAATTTATTTCTAACTCAGCGCGTACGCGATTGATAATTAAGCGTGGTTCAGTTTTATTTTGGAAAATTCAATTGTGAACAGCAGTTTGTAATGTGTGTTGATATGATACACGCTGACCGCTAGACGGCGCAAGCTGCTCTATTGGAGTCAGTGTTGCCATGTCCGCGTATTGTAAGCTAATATGGACTTGTTTTTCATAAAGTGTCTTATAAATATGGGATGATGCGGGAAAGACACGGAGGAATAATGTGGTTGGAATCATTTTGGACAGTCAGAATAGACCTGTTTTTAAAACTCAAGCATTTAAAGTGGCAGATGACATAACTGCAAATCACAATAATAATGCAGAATGTTATCAGCCATTGATGCTAATATAGTTATCGTTATAGTTATCTTTACAGTTATCATTCTTGGTGTGAATGGGCCTTAAAACAATAAAACTTCGATAAAATAGTTCAAATGTCATTGCGACATTGCAACCACTATTTACTGTTCAAGCTTTTCTCATAGATGAGACTGATTGAGATGGCCAGTTAACGTTATGTGAAATGAAAACATTATTTTAACATTTTGTTGTATTTTGTTGCTTTTTAACATTTTTGTTTCATCTGTTTTAATAAGCGTTTTAATATTTTCTATGATTAATTTGAAGTTAAATTACGAAATTAAGTACTTTTTTATTTTTTTATTATTGTTTTCTTTATTTTTAATCTAACCACTATTGGAGCAGTTTGCCAGCTTGTCTTGTGAGATCTGGCAACACTGCGTATTGTGCACTGAGCGAACAGACAGGAGGCAGAACCGAGCTGACAGACAAGAAACATCAACGTTTGACAGTTTGCCACTGTTTGATTATTGAAAAAACAACACAGAACAGCATTAATAAAGGCAATTCTTCGGTATCTCCATGGCTTGCGGCTTCAGTTCAAGCGCTCTGTGTGTGTCGGAGGGAAGGATGCGCGGCTGAAGATTTAAGTCCGGAGAGACTGAAGCATCCGCATCCTGAACATCCCGATAGACAATCACAACGATGATGGAGGGGCGACACGAGTTTTTATGCGGTGTTGTTGAGGGTAAGTTTACGCACACATTATTTATCTGGATGCTTGGGTGGGAGCCACAGATACGACCAAATAAATGAGGCTTATTCGTTAAATAGCATTTTTAACTCGAACACAACTTAACTTGCGGTTATGTATCTTCAAACTGTTATTTACTACAATTATTTACGGAAAAAAGAAGCACCAAGCTATAAAGACACATATAATTAGCCTCTAAAATAACCCATTTCTAATTTATGGGCTAGAAGGGCAATTCATCTTATTAAGGCGCCTAGAGCATCCTGGGTATGTATTTGCATATTTATACTGGAGTGTGATAGGAAGCAGCTGGCCAAACCATAAGACACACACTCACACTTACACACACATTTCCTTCCCCAGTGCACATACACGCATGTTGTGCATATCTCCTAATTAGCCTTACTCTTGTTTGTAGCTCAGTGTCACATTATTGGCTCGGCGGGTGATTTGTCTTTTTTCTTCTGTGGAAATGTCACCTGGCTGGATTCCAGCAGCTTTCTCTTACTGACCCACTTCTGTCCTACAGCTGCAAACTTTAGGACCACACTGGCATGAATATCCAATATCAGGGACGTCGCTAGAACATTTGGGAAGGAGAAGAGGAGAGACACACTTTATAATTTATAAGTAAATCTAACTCTACTCTCATACATACAGAACACTCATGTAAAGTCAAACATACTATATAACAAATCTCAGCTATAAAGATATATATATATATACAGTATCTCACAGAAGTGAGTACACCCCTCACATTTTTGTAAATATTTTATTATATCTTTTCATGTGACAACACTGAAGAAATGACACTTTGCTACAATGTAAAGTAGTGAGTGTACAGCTTGTATAACAGTGTAAATTTTCTGTCCCCTCAAAATAACTCAACACACAGCCATTAATGTCTAAACCGCTGGCCACAAAAGTGAGTACACCCCTAAGTGAAAATGTCCAAATTG